TGTTACACTGCAGCATCAGTGTTGTGCTATGCTAAGCCATTTCTATTTTTGGATCCAAGATAATTTGATCCTGGTACAATGAATGAATGCCTTCTTGGTCAATAGTTTCCAGAATCAGAAATCAAAGCCCAACTAGGGAGGCAGTAATGTGAAATTGTCTTATGTCACACGAGGCTGTTTTGCCAGTTGGATTGTGTTTGACAATTCCAGGATGTAACAAAGGATAGGCATATGCAAGATGTTTTTGGTATATTCCTAAGGTATCTGTGGAACCATAGGGAAATATTTTGGTGCAGAGTGCTGTAGTTCTTCCCTGCCACTCTATTCTTCCTGCTTTTTCAATAACCATACTTTAGCATTTGCAATAATGCAGCCCCTGAAAACCTAATCTAAGAATGGGGGCAATTGTACCTAGACTCTTTGCAAACATGTAATGAGTTCTGATTTAAGGATCTTATGTTCTAAGTAGAGAGAGGTGCCATGGGAAGCAGAAAGAGGCAAAGTGACTTGCCAAAGATCATAAAACAGGTCATTGGCAGGGCCAGAATTAGAATTCAGGTCACCTGGCTCCTCTCCTTTAACAGTCCATTTTCCTGTCCATTTTAACCCAGGCCTCACAGCTGGAGCATCAGTCTGCTGCTCACAGCTAGAATAACAACACCTGGCTGAGCTGCTGCTCGGAACATCTTGGACGTAAGGGCAGGAGCTATGGGGATGGTAGCCTGGGTACGACCGAAAACTGCACCTTGCTGGCGAAGGATAGCCTGGTGGGACTGCTTATGGCAGGGCAGTTCCCCAGAAATGCCAGACTAGTTGCCTTCCCAGTGAAACTCAGGTAGGGACACCTTAAAACCCCAGCCCCCACATCCTGGTGGGTTACCCTGATGTAGGGACAGGCATCTAGCACAACTAGAGAGTACCTGAACCCATAAGGTGAAAGACCTTGATAGCATGAGGCCAGGCACAGCTAGTAAGAGACACTTGAGCCCATAGGGTGAAAGACCCCATTGTTAGGGGGGGCAGGCATGCTTAGGAGAGGCACCTGTGCCCCATAGGGTGAAAGACCCGGATGGCTCTAGTGAGGGGGCAGAAATACATGGAGGCCCGCACAGAGTAGGGTGCATGGTCAACCCAAAGTGCTGTATGTGAGGGTGGCCAGAGGCTGAGTTCAGCCCTGAGTTAGGCATAAGGCTGTTGGTTATGTAGAGTAAGGTCTGTGAAAAAACGGCCTGAAGTGCTGTGTCTACCCTGCCTGGAGAGTGAGTAGGGAAGCCCAAAGTGCTGTGTAAAATAGGGTCTGAGTAGGACCCAAAGTGCTGTGTGGAGTAAGGCAGGTTGGGAGTGGCCTGGGAAGGGACAGCATGTGAGACGCTCAGTGAGAGTGGGCGGAGTGAAAGAGGCCCTGTGAGAGAGGGTGGTGTGAAAGGGGCCTGGTGAAGGGCAGAGTATGTGCATGGGATGTTAGAGGCCCTACAACAGGCAGAGTTTGACCTGGCCACAGGCCAGACCTATCATCCACTTAAGTTGTCACCTGCATGGTAAAGAAGCTATGTGTAATGCCCTTATCACCAGGGCAGATAAAAGGGACAGCCTGCCACCTGAGTGACATCTTAATTATTACCATCAAGGCATGGCAGGGGAGAAAGATGGGCAGTTAGCCCAGAGACATGCAGGCAGGCCAATATCATCACCTGGCCCTGAGCTGGCCCCCTGTCACAATAACCAATGTTAGTTGAAAATTTGCTTTGTTCTCTCTCTCTTCAGTGACCACATTCCTACACCTTCCTCTTTAGTCATTTTAATGCCTCTGCAGTCAGTCTTCCTTTCTGTGTTTTTAACAGCTCCTAGTCTGTGGTCCACAGATTCGGTCCCATTGCCTGGAATTAACATTGTTATCCATACATTGTTGTATGTGTAAAGGAGATAAAGGAGATGGAGAAAACGTTATAGGATGTCAATAAAACAAGGTTCTTTTGCATGGTCTTTTGTTCTCTGTTACGTTAAAAATGTCCCATTTTTTCAGGAACAGTTTGCAAAATTTATTTAAATTAAGACTGGTTTATTGCATGCACACACGGGTATGCTTTATATGAAGATATCATCTTTAAATACATCTTTATATGAAGATACCATCTATATTATACATTTTCTATATTAGCAAAGGTATCAACTATTAATTTTTTTAACTAACAATTTTGAAGAAAAAAATATCTGTGAACCCAGTGGCCAATATCTCCTTGCTAATAAACATACCAGATTCTACCTGCACTCCCATCTGAATAACTTGACAGAAAACAAAAGGGTTGCACAAGTGTAACTGAGGATAGAAATTGGCCTGTAGTATCATTATAAGGTAGCTAATTCTGTGGATAATGCATAGTTATGAGTATGGTACAGTCCAGCTGAGTGACTCATAGACATGCTGCCTTTACAACACTAAAGGAGAGAAAATTGTACTCTCTGGATGTTGTGTAGAGGCTGCTACACTGTTTCTGGTTCAAGAGCCATGCTGTATGGAGCAGCATAGGATGTTGGAGGGGGATACTTCCAAACACGGTAACTTGTGGGATCTTGACATAGCCAAAAAGTATATAAAACTTGTATTTGTCTCCAAAGTGAGTGAGAAGCATGTAGAGGGCAGATCTTATCAGAAGGATCCCATTTTTCATGCTCATGTTTCAGCATAGAATCACACTTAGAAAATAAACTTCAGCTGTAAAGCATGTATAATGGGTCTTGAGTCAGCAAAGTACCCATGGGCATGTCACACAGAAGATGCCATGGTGCAAATAAAGGGGATTTAATTTTATTAAACCAGCATGTTGCTGTATGTGGCTACTTTTGCATATTTTAAACGTGCCTTGCAGCAGTTTAGCTTGCCTTGGCAAACAGGTTTTAGAGGTGTGCAACATGGCCTTTTTACACTGGTGCAACTGCTGCACATATCCTAGGCTCATTTCAAGTATATGGGTTGTTCCACTGAAATGAAATCTACTGTTAGGAACATAGGATTAAAAGGGGCTTCACAAGCTACTGAGTCCAGCCCCCTATGTTTTCAGGCAATCATTAACCAAAGGATCCTCAAAATCTCCGCTCTAAACCCTTGTCCCCAAAGCGTCTTCAACACAGGGTGCTGACAGAAATGACACTTGTCATGCAATCGGCTCCTTGAAAGTGCTCTATAGCCATGCCCTGACACAAGTGCATGGTTGCAGAGTGCTTTAAAAGTGCCCAATTATGTGACAAAGTAAACCTCATTACATGAGGGCTCAGATGAAGGCAGTCCAAAGCGGAGCACCTTCATTAACTTCTGTCTGATCAGGTCTGGGTTGCAGCCCAGCCCCACACCTCATAATGTCTGCATGATGGGAGCAGGAGAAAGGAGAGGATGGAGCTTCAGGTTGGGGTTTGCCCAGCCTGCAACGGAGGGGCTATGGGAGAGAGGCTGCAGACACGCAGCTCCTTCTGGATTGGGTCCAAAGTGGAGCTTGTCCCCCACCCCCCTGAGCCAACATCAAATGTCTGTTGGGTCAGATGCGGGGGGTTGCTATAACTCATGGCACTTTCTGTGAAGTGCCATGAGTTACAGCAGGAAGCTGCACATGTGTCAGCACCCACAAAGAACACTCTATACCATGCCACAGGTAAAAGGCGTGGAGAGAAGGTGATTGCTTATGTCCTATAACTGCAACAATGGGAAAAACAGCTATTTACTACCACCATTAAAGTGTGCAAAAGAACTGTACCCCATGCTACAGAGGAAGGCAACCCCATCTCTCCTAAATGCTGACATTGTTCTGTTGAAATTGAAAGTAGTGGATAATTAAAAATAGGCCAACAGTAATGCATGTAAAATTGCAGGGGGAGAGTAATGGTTCTGATTGGGTGGTAAGAACTGAATTGATTATATCATGTTTAGGTCTTTATGAAACATACTAGCCAACTGCCTGTCAAAAATGATGGGTGGGGGGTGGCTGAGGACAGTGGCCTGCATCCGGTCCTGCTCCCCCCACCGCTGAGGCCAGGGCCAGGGCCAGGCTGCCCTGCCTCTGTCAGCTGGCCCCACCCACCCATCTGCTCCGTTGCTGCTTGCAAGGCTGGGGGTGTGTGACCAGCAGTGCTGGCCTTGCCCACCCCATCCTCTCCATTTTCATGGCCTGCAGGGAGCAGTGGGGATGGGGCCACCATCCACTCCATTGCCACCACCTGCAGGGTCAGGGGGCTGGGGCCAGCAGTGCTGGCTTTGCTGGGGGGGGCGGGCAGGGCCAGCACCACTGGCCCATCCACTCTGTCGCCTGCTGGGGGAGATGGGGATGGAGGCCTGGGGCCAGGCTCACTACCCCCACCCTTGCCCACTACCATGTTGTGGCTGGGGCCACCCCCCCACCCAGGGGGCTGGCAGGGACAGAACCCAGCATCCAGCCCTGTGTCCCTGCTCCCGTTGTCTGGCCCCGCCTCCCCAATTCAGGCCTGACCCTGTTCCTCCGCCCCGCCATTGCTTTGGGCCTGACCCTGTTCCCCCTGGCAGTTTGGGTTTGGGGCCACTTCCCCTGTTGCTCTCTTCACTGTGGTGGCCGCGATCCAGTTTCCCACCTCACGCCACCACCTCTACAGAGCGGGGGAGGGCGCTCCTCCTTTTCCTCACTCCTCCATGGGACTGAGCCTGGCCCCCACACCCTCCCCTCTGCTGTTGTGGGGCCGGCACCAGGCCTGCCTCCCCACCCTCCCCACTGCTGTTGCTGGGCCCAGACTGCCCCCCCATACCCTCCATTTTGAGGGCAGGCTAGGGCTGGTTGCCCCCCCCCCCCCACCCCCCCCCCCCCCCCTCGCCTCCAAGGAGCAAGGGGGATCCCCAAGCACCATCCAGCAGTTGGTGCTTGGGTATCACTGACTCAGTGCTGATAACGTTGACTTCAGCAAGGATGTTGGCATTTTTGTGGAGATCTCCCCATGTGATGTGAAAGGTTTTCCGGAGCCTGATACATCCCCAGGCTCTTGATATGAGGGTGGTAGGTAACCCAAGTTTAACATCTGTAGAAGGTAGTGGGGATGATGACTGTATTGTAGACCTGGATCTTAGTGTCTTTCTGGAGATAGCAATGAATAAAGACATCACAAAGCAATTTTCCAAAGGTGGTACTTGCTCATTGGATCCTGTGCTGGATCTCCTCATCAATGTTCACTCTCGGAGAGACGTGGCAGTCAAGGTAGGGGAAGTGCTTGACTACCTCCAAGGTCTTTCCCTCTATGGTAATTTGGGGAGGGGGTTCATATTTGTGGTCCAGAGCAGGCTGATAGAGCACTTTAGTTTTCTCAGTGTTGAGTGAGAGGCCAAAAGGTTGGTAGGCTTCTCTGAAAAGATCCAGCACAGTCTGAAGGTTTTGCTCAGTGTGCACAAGGATGGCAAAGTCATCAGCATATTGAAGGTCAAGGATGGTTGTTTTGAGTATTTTGGTCTTTGGCTGAAAATGTCCCAGATTGAAAAGCCCTCCATCCATTCAGTGTCAATGTGGAGTACTTCTGGGGAAGGATAAAATCATGAAGAGAGCCGCCTGAATAGGAATTAAAGCAGCAGTACATAGAGTGCAACAGGGTAAATCCAAATCTTTCAGAAATGAGTTGTGGGCTAAATTTTATGGTCTTTAACTAAGGCAGTGTTCACCTGACTGCAGTGGGAATTTGGCTTGAGTGATTTAGATCTTGACCTAATGACACTGGTTTTCTGGATTTAGTGTTAGGGTAGATGTTAAACACAAATGCCCTGGGACACAGACTATGTGTGGTCTCTGAGTTTATGAGATTGGAAGAAGTTTTTTATCTACCTGGAAGTAACAAAATAAAAGAAACCAGGCTGGGCCTTTTTAGAGCTAATGATATATTTTTTTTGTAAGGCTACTCCAGTATTACTTGTTCTAAGCAGCCTTCCAGCATTAGATTTGTTTGAAGTATAATTCCAGTAGTTTTTGTTGTAAAATCTTATGTTGGAACAGAAGTCCAAATGGTGACTCGCAAGTTGGCTGAGAATTGCTGCCAAAGTGATAAAAAGTTAGGAAAAGATTTTAGGCAGCTGTTAGCTCACAACCAGGTATTATTTTTATGACATCTTCTTTAAAAAAAACAAAACTTCTAAGGAGCCACCTTTAAATAGCAGGAAACTTTTGATGACCTGCAAGTCATTATGGCTGGTCTGATTCCTACAGCAGGTGGATAAGTAGACAGAACTCTGAAACAACCATCTCAAATACAACCTTCCTTGGCAAGAGATGCCAAGGATTTAAACAAACATCAATGTGACATTCCCCTCTTTCATCTATTAATGGTGATTCCAAATTTGAAATGCATTAGCAGAGCATTGTGTAAAAGCTTTTGCTGACATTGGTTCAGTAGAAGCTGTCATTGTAGGGTAGATCAAAACACTGTCTATCTGTCTTGGTTGGTGATGCAGTATAAAACATTCATGGTAGCATTTAAGCAATGATGGTTCATGGCTTTTTTACATAATGATGATTAAGAAAAGAAGTTGGATAGTGTCCAATTTGTGCTAACAATTTAACTGTATGTTTTGAGGGAGACATTGCACTCTTAGGGTTGTTAGAAAAGAACACATTATAAACAGTTTCTATTGCAGGCAACTTCACCCTAATGATTAAATCTAGTGGGGTACATGGCAACCAGACCACTGCATGTTTTCTGAAGAGTGCCATAGGGCACATCCATTAGACACTTTGTACGTGGTATGGTACGTGTGAGTAGTCTCGCTCATATCATGGGACTGCCCTGGATTGTAAGCATTAAGCGTAGAAATATTTGCAACAGCATTTTTCTATGGGAATCATTTTCTTATTTTCAAAGGGGATAACTTCCATTGTCCATTATGCAAGTATGAACCCGGTATCTGATCAACTGAAAGACCATCAGCAAGTTACGTTACTCATTAATATGGCCCCAAGGTTGATTTTTCTTTTTGTTTTTTTTAAGATCTACTGTATTTGAAATCATTCTTTAAGTGGAAAGTTAATCTCCAGTGCAAACGATTCTTTATCCCTTCTTTCTTTCCTTGAAGCAAAAAGTATTTTGAGAGATGCTTCAGGCAAGGTGTTATCACTAAGCCTTGACAAAAGCTGTTTCTAGTGGATTGTGACGAATGTGCTTGGTCTGCATTAAAACTTTTTGTCATAAATAAAATAAAATAAAACATGAAAACATTCAGAAGAAGATAATGTGAAAGCTGAGATCTCTTTCTTGGTCCATAATAAGCGACACCTATGTCCATAGATAGGCCTTGTTTAGTTACAGAGATAGTACATGAGCTGCTTCATCCTAAATTGAAGCAATCTGACACTGTTATGAAGCATTTTTTGTTAAAAGCTTTTTTGTCATTTAACATTTTTGGCCCTTGATATACAAAGAGCAATTTTGGACAGGAGTTGAGGATAAACAGAACTCACTGATTTAATTTGGGGGTGCTGGTGCTCAGTAACAATAATAAGCAGATAATTACTTTTAACCTTGTACTTCAGTGTAGGTTTTGCTAACATCTGCTTCACCACCTTTCAGAGGAATAGAACGGTTAAAGGATATATGGACCTTCAAAACTTACTAAACTTTCAAATCTTCTTCTGCTACACAGCAGTCAAACACATCCATTGACATTTGCCTCCCAATAAAGTAATGGAGGATCAAGGCACTTGCATGTTAAGTGATTTAGAAACTGGCCAAGCAGGATGATTTCCCCTGAAGTCCCTCTCTCCTTGGGTGAAACAAAACCCCCTAGATTTGTTCACAATATTGTAGTCAGGCAGTATTCATATTCACACACCCTCAGTGACCTATATGCTGTTCATTCTGGACCTGCACAGTTAGGCCGGACCCCTGGCAGCAGGAGATTTGTGATTAAGAGATGTGTTAATAATAACAGGAAAAAAATATTTGAGCTCAGGGATATATAAAACACCATATAAAATGTCCTAGTCATGGCACACATCAGATTTCCATATCTGAGACCATATGATATCTACTAAAAGCTACTATGATATCTACTAAAAGGAAGATGACATAAAATGTTTGAAAGAAGCTTATCATAAGCATCTACAAAACTATGCCATCATTTTCTCCAAGTCCTTCTTCAAAACCCTCCTCTGCTTTGATGCCTATAAAGATGTGACAACTCTTAGGTCCTCGGTAGGATGAGACTAATGCCTCTCACATTGACTAATAAATATAATTTCCTTATTGATTAATGAACCGAGCCTTCATTCCATGTTTCTTAGTAATGCATTGTTTAGGTCTATGACTAGGATTGCCATGTGCTATGGTAATATAAATAATACAGAATAAGGTAAATAATAGTAATGATGATAGTCAAGCTGTGTACATTATTTCTGTATGGTCATATTGATGGTTCTCTGTATATGTTAGGAACTTTAAGGAGCAACCAGTAACCTCAAATAAATTGTATCCAAGATGAAGAGTCAAACAGCACATAAATCACATAACAATAGAAAGGTGAGGGGGAAGAGACATGTCTGTGATGGTGGTTATGTAACATGACCCAGCACCCTTTAATGTTAATGGTAAGACTTCCATTAGCAAATACAAAAATATTCCATCAAACTTCCAAGTAAGCATCTTTTTGCCTTCTTCTCTGGAGAATGCTGATTTGATAGGACAGCTCTTTCATTATTAAACTGTCCCAAACTTTTTTAAATCAGTCAGTGATTTTAGGGGTGCCACTTCTCTTCTGTTCCTTCACAGTTGTAATTCTTGCAGCCTCTGGAAGATGAGTGATCAATTCCCTATGACATTTATTTGTTGCAGAATTATCAGGAAGTTTCATTAGTAACACTTAAGGCAAAGTATAAACAGTTAAGAAGCCTGAGGCTGAATTGATTCAGTCTTTGGAGGTCAGTCTAAACCAGGGATGGGGAGTGTCTAGTCCACGGGCCAGATCTGGTCAGCCGGGGACTTCATTTCCCAGCCACCCCTGTCCTCATGGCTTGTGCTGGTCTCCATGGAGACCTCAGCCATGCCAGCAGCATGTGCGGCAGAGCACTACAGGGAGCTGCTGCGGAGCTGCCAGGAACGTGGGACAGGGGCAGTTTGCTCTAGAGCCACGATCTGTAGCCTGCACATTTTGTGTAGGGAGATGCATGCAGGGGATCATGGTTCTGCCCGGGCTCCAGACAGGCTGTCACTGCTCAAGGAGCCTGGGCAGAGCCACGATCCCCTGTATGATCCCCTGCATGTGTGCAGGCTACAGATCATGGCTACGGAGCAAGCTGCTCCCATCCCATGTTCCCAGGAGCTCCGGAGCAGCCCCCTGCACTGCTCTGCCACATGTGCTGCCAGAGAGGCTGAGGCCTCTATGGTGGCCAGCACAAACCCACGTGGGCAGGAGCGCCTGAATAATGGAGTCTCCAGCCGACCGGCAGCCTGGAGGTTCTCCATCCATGTTCTAAACTGCAGAGTCAAATTGAAACAGAAGTGAACGGACATTTACCTTTGAGTCAGGAAATGCAGGCACATGCCTCCAGTGGCTCAGGCCAGGAGGCATTAGAGCAGCATTTCTCAACCCGTGGGTTGTGACCCAGAAGTGGGTTGTAAGGATATATCAAAGGGTTGTGAACAAACTTTAAAAATGGATTATACTTTAAAGAAAAAAAAAAAGGAAACTATGGCTTGTCCAGCCTGCAAGGGGCTGCTTGTGGCCCTCCCTGCCCCACATGCCCACCCCATGCCCCACACACTGGAGGGCTGTGGCGTGGCGAGGTGGGGCAGCAGGTTGGGAGTGAGAGGCACTGGGTTGGGACTGGCCATTGATGTTTATAAATGGGTCCTGGTATAAAAAAGATTGAGAACCCCTGCTCTCTGGCACATAGCTAGCATGGGCTGTGTGTTTGCTTCCTCTTCTTGCTGCCCCTGAGGTCTCTGGGATTTGCAGTTCAAAACCATAGCCAGCCCACACTGCTCCAGCTAGGGAGCAAAGGAGCGGGGCTATCCCTGCTCTCTGGAGCAGACAGCACCGCCCAGCCCAGGGCTGCAAAGCTTGCTGGGGGACTGTGATTTAACTTGAACCAGAATGGGGTCTGGGACAGAAGTTTCATAAACTGTTTCAACCCAAATCAGTTAAATCCATGGGTGACTGGTGCCTCCTGATGCTGGGGGACACCAGTGGCCGATCACTGACAGGGGGGGGGAGCACATGCCCCCCCCCCAACCATACTCCTCCTACACGTCGCCTATGGTTAAGT